GGATTATGAGCTATGTCGTTGGTGACGAATCTTATCCGCGCCTCATACGCGGGTGATGATATGTGTGTAGCGTTGCTAGGAGCTCTAGTAAGCAAGGAGTTTGGAATATCGGACAAGAAATAGTCAGCGTGATTGCACGCACGGTTACACCTATATTCGTTGAATAACACGTTGTTATATAATAGCACCAATTTGACGGATACGCCACGAGTTGCGGCTCCTCACGATCAGGATTTGAAATACCGTATCCTCTATGAGGCCCACGACACCCCACTCGGTGGTCTTTTTGATCGTGAGAGGACAGCTCGGTGAGTTGCCACTATTGGTGACCAAGCTGTACAAATGGACGAGTGCATATGTGCGCACGTGTGAGACGTGTCAGAGGGTGAAAATCTCATCGAATGCGGCGGGGCTGCTGGCCAGCTTACCGGTACCCATCGGGTGTTGGTAGTCCATGAGTATGGACTTTGTGTTTGACCGGCCGAAGGACTCGGCGGGCAACACGGGTGGTGGTCTTTGTGGACCGTTTGAGCAAGATAGTTCATCTTGCGGCAGTGCTGGACACCATCGACGATGTCGGTACACCGACGCCGTTTGTGAATCGTGTCTTCCGATAACATGGACTTCAAAGCCAATTGTCTCTGATTGAGACCCGCTCTTCACTAGGAAGTTTTGGTCCACCATCTTCAGGGTGCTGGGTACCAAGTTGACCGCAGACCGATGGTCAAACTGATCGCATGAATCGCGTCGTTAAGGACGTTATTCGTAGCGTCTGCACTGAGACGCTGAAGCGCTGGGGTGCCGATTTGCCACTCGTAGAGTGAACAAAGCAGTGCATCAATCTACCGGCTACACGCCGTTCTACGTGAACAGGCTTATTTATCTTTGTGTCCCGCTGACGTCGCCATTCCATGGCTTAGAGCTTGGTGGGAAGGAATAGCCGAACGGCTAGCTGATGTCAGCCCTCTCACCGTCCGAAAGGAAGTCAATGGTTTCTGTCTACCGGACTGAGTGTCCTATGACACGGTCTCGATGCGATGGCTGAAAGCCGAGACATGCAGAAAGAATATGCATAGGGAAAAAGCAGAACAAATGTAAGCGATTTACTGGATCTTTTAACGTTGAGCCAAGCGAGGTGTCGCGTATGCGCTGAATCTTTCGAGAAGGATCCGGACCCACCCGGTGTTTATATGTGGGCTTGCTTAAGCCGTACCGGGATCCGGCGCAAGTGATCGCAGAAGCGTTGGCGACGGGGCGGCGCCCACAGGCACTCGATCACCCAGAAACCAAACTAGCAGCTGGTTCTGAGCACGGAGTACAACAATCTTCGTTTCCAACGGTGTAAGGCACTCCACCGTCGCACAAAGTGACATATTCGTCCGCTCGACGGCTAGGAGCCGCTCCGACAGAGCGCGAATAATCCGTAACGTGAGGCAGTCGGTGCACAAAGTGCTCCAGGCCCTCGAGGTCTTCCGCACAGATATGCGACCTCGAAAATATGCTCGGCGGAATGCCGATGACGACGGACTTTGTTCTCTGAAGCTCGAAGAGCGTCGAGAGTCACCGGACGGCAATTGACCAAGTCGTCATCGCCCGCTGCCGACTCTGCTCAATCAGAAAGGTGGCGTCCACTACCACGTGGAACGCCTTGTGTTTCGGCGTCGTCGACAGGGTCAAACACAATATCTTGTGAATTGGCGGGGATACCCAAACTCCGAGAACTCGTGAAGGTTTGAGGTGCCACTTCGGCAACACTGCCCAGACGTCGTGGACGCTTATGATCAGAGAGATCATGATGCTTCGCGCCATCGCGCGCCCCGCGCTTCTCGGCAGTAGCCCGGGAAGTCGAAGGGCCATGAGCTGACCTCAAGCTATGTCCCTGAGCTGCTGTGGTCATAGAATCACCCGTGTGAGAAACCACAGAGCCTACGGCAGCGTGATGGATGGTTCCATGTGTCGCAGGGTAAGAATACGCAGGAAGACGGCGTTGCGCCTTGATTTTGGCAAATTCAAATCGAAGATAGCTCTCTAAGCGCACTTCCACTTCCTTGTTGATTTGCTGTAAGTGAGACAGCGAGCAAAATTTCTGGTGCCACTGCACCCATTGCTCAAAGAGCTCTTCATCATCTGCAGCGGTTTTGTCAGGGCAAGCACCACAGGGATAGTTCGCATTGTGGGTACAGGAGCGCCTCCTCTTTGAGCTCGAAGCCGAGCGCGATACCTATCCATTGAGATTTTTGAGGTACCAAAAAGCGATTTCGAAGACTTTCACTGGTCAAGCTCAGCTTGTGTAGTGACCGGAGGCCCAACTACGTTGACGCCTATCGATCGAGTGATCGCGTCTTTCGCTTCAGGAGAGGGATCCGCCGAGCGGAAGCCGCCGTGTGGGCAGCCACCAGCTGCTGCTCCTGTGGCTTGTCGAGGCAATTGGTGACAATTCCACTTTTTCCGGAAGTCGAGAGGTTGGGAAACAGACACGGTGTCCGTAAGGTTTGAGCTGGGCTCACGTCGCGCCGTTAAGGCACCTCATCCTCCTCGTCTTCCTTTGTCGGGAATGGAGAATCCGACTCGTAGTCGACTTCCTCCGAATCGTCGACGAAGAAATCCATAGTCCGGGGCTGAAGCGGTGTGTGGCGCTCGGTTGCCGAAGGCTTGGGATTTCATTCCTGTGAAATCGCGGACTTATTGTCCGGAGATGCACCCCGTGCAGAAGAAGAAGGGCTTTGCCCGCGGAAGCCCCTGGAACCAGCGAAGCTTTGTGTTTTGAATGGAGAATGTTCAAAGATGCTCTCAAGGACGTAACGTTGTCTCAGACACGCAAGCCTCGTATGAGGCGACAATTAAATGCGAATTGTGGATATTCTTGCTTTTAATGGGAGAGCGTGTAACGGGGTTACACGTACCCTTGTATGAAAGGGCAGGTCGCGCAAGATGGTGTGACCGTACATAGGCGTGGATGATACGAGTTGGTGTAATCACACAATGGTGTGGTTACACCTAAACAAGGAGCCACTACGTGGCAGGACTGCCAGTAGTAATGCATATTAACTAGGTTTTACTTCATAGATTAAATACTACTGTATATTTTGGAAAACGATCGCTCTAGATATTGGCGGCTCAACCGCAACTGAAACAATTCGAATATAGTTTCAATTTCGAACGGAAAAGCCTCTTTACCTTGGTAAAGATTTTGGAGGTTGCAGATTGCGATCCGCTACACTCGTACTGGTTCTTGTAAATAACGTCAGTTCGGTGACCTTAGCTTAACTTCCTCTAGGCAAAGAACTACGGCAGCCCCGCTGCAAATACCATTTTTCAGCCTCACAAAGGATACAGCCGAACAAACTTGGCCGTCGGAGGAACTTGATTGCCGTTCAGGGTAGAAGCATTGACTCAAATACCTAGCTTGCTATTCTCTGACTGACACGCATTTGAGATCAAGTATTTATTAAGCTGATAATAAGCATATCTGTTTTACACGTCCAGTGACAGAAATTATATGTATTGCATGGTGTGAGGCTAACCGTCTACTTTTTCTTAGCGGAATATCATTCTCTTCATCAGTACCAGAAATTTAAGTTGTGCACAATTGCACAAAAGTGTTGTGTATGAACACCATAGTATGGTATGCCTCTTTCATATCCTCTAAATACAGCATATTGCTGCACATGATCAATAATGTGGTGATGACTTCAAAATACACTAAATGTCAGCGAAATGATTGTGACATCCATTTCTGTTCCAAACAGATATGCGATTAGCTGCGAAGTGGTATATACAACTTCATATTTTTCTAACTTTTACACAAGTTGTTAGTCGAAATTTGGCCAGATTTTACTGCTCAAATAAAATATGCAGTTTACAATCAGATGTATCAGAACTTCTGCTGTCGATGACTGGTTTTACAGAATTCAATTTGATTTTACCTAGGAAGAGTAGACAGTGGCACATCTGTCAAGCGAATAAAATAAATGATACTGAGTTCAAGTAGCATTATCGGTTGCTTCAGTAATGATAAGTAAAAAAAGAATCCTCTGATGCTCCTCGCTGCCATACTAATGTCTCCATTTTGGATGCAAACTCAACGCTATCTTCATTCACGTCGCCATCTATCACTTTCCCATTGATTTTGGAATTTTGGTGAATATCTACGGCTAATAGAACCGTTCGATGATAGATTTTCAGCCGATTTCGTTTTGCAGCATCCGTCTCTGGCCACGACATAGATGCTACGTCTGGCACGAAAAACGTTTTTGGCAGGACGTTGTTTAGAATTCCCACAAGTGACAGCATCACATCAGATGCTCCCGTCTGAAAAGGAAGCTCCACGCCTGTACTTTGTTGGCCAAAACCTTCCCGCATGTTGAAATACCGGATCCCGTGTCGGATTTTCGGCTTGACACTGAAGTATTCGCATGACGTTTTAGCACAAAGTTTTTCGGCAGCGACTATAAGCCCATTAACGTCCTGGTCTTTTGCACCACGGAAGACAGCCGCCGTTTTTCCTCCCTTACACCAAGGCCCTAGAACGTCTGTGTAACTAGTATTTTCATCAACCAATTTACTAGATGTACACGCGTCCAATTTCACCATATAGTCCTCGAGATCACCCACGCTTTCTGCGTACACAAGCGTTTCAATCGGTGAATTTACGCTGACAACCTTATTGCCGCGCCCCAGCTCATGGTCAAATATATACTCGCGAAGGTCAAGAGCTGATCCTTGCGTTGCTTGTACTCCTTTTGGCTTTCTAGGGAGAGTCTTCCCAATCGCCACACGTCCACCGTATGTATTTAAATTGAGATACTTACGCATCACATGGGAAAGGTGCATGTCTTCTGAAGTAGCCCATGACGGGGGGCGCTCTTTCATAAAGTATTCTAGCCATGACTGCTCGAGAAACCACATTCCACTTAAATAATCCTGTTCAGCCCATGCCTGACCCGTAAAGTTGCGGGGCCAGCTTTTGTAGCCCTCAAACGTTGCTGCTCGACGATGGCCGTTATTGCCCCATACTCCCTTGCGGATATTCATGTACTTGAGGTAATCCCTGACAGTATTTTCATCAATAGCTTTGTCATCGTCGACAATCAGCACATACTTTGTTGTGGCCATATACGCCAAAAGAAACCTTCCGTGAAATTTGTAGTTGAAATCGGAAACAGTGAGCTGAATATTTTGAGCTAGAAGGGGATATTTGCGCTTGACTTCATCAACTACATGTCGAAAACTCTTCTCCATCGGAGAATTAAAGCACATGACCCATACTTTTGGTGGATCAACGTGCTTTTGCGTCAATGCCTTGATTAGTTGCTCTGTCAGTGCATCAGGTCTACCCTTATATACGTTCAGGATGATGGTAGTCGACGTATCCGATTCGCTAAAATTACTTGTGTAAAACTCAGCGCCCATTGTTAAAACCTCTTGACTGGGCTTCACCTCAACTGCAAAACTTTGTCCAGAATCGGCTGCTGGAAGCTTTAGCGAGATCAGTTGCGAGTTTACATCGGCATTCTCACTGCGAAAAAGGATCGGACGACTTCGAACAAAGTATTTGTCCAAACCTGCGAAAGATCCAGCATACCAACACACACATAGAATCCAACCGCCGCCAATCAAATATAGGGTTTTGGGCCTTCGCCATATTGTATTCGCATATCCTTGTCGTATGTATCCCATTGCGAAAATTTTTGACTGAGTCAAACAAACCACGTGTTCTATTTGAAACGACTTTCACCATCCCAAAAGCACATCCACCCAACGACAAAACAATTATTATAATAAATGCAACATTATGAAATACCACAATTATCTACTATATAGTTATCGACCCAACAGTGTCATTTAAAGCCTAGTCGATCTACAGATGCTGTATCACAAGCCATACTAGGTTACTGGTGCGACTTGGCCTCCGCATATCCCGCAATCTAAGATTAATCGCTAACTAATAATTTTTTCGATTGCCCAAACGTTCAAACTGTGCAACCATGCTGCATGTTCGCGCAGCGAGGTCGCGAGTCTTATCAATCACTTGCCGATGAACCGAATTCTGCGGCAGCCCCATGATAATAAGACCTTCCTGTGAGTCGATTTTGGCATCAAGGCGAGCGTTACGAATCATGTTGACAATCCACTTCTCGGCCTCTCCGTCTTCTTGCATAGCCAGTTTGGACGATAGCGCCTTCATGTCGATAGTACGGTGCACGCGACAGTATATTTCGAAAATTGCTAGGCGAGCAGCCTCCATAAAATCAGTTGAATTTTTTTCATAGAGGAAAAAGTCACTTGCCAGCACCACTTCACAATCGCGTAACTTTTCTTGAGCAGACTCGAAGTCAAAATTGACGAATAAACACTCGACAAAGTCCACGATCGGGTCATGGTAGCCCTTGTCGTCCACTCGAAGTACACGTAGCAGATCCTTAATCAGGTTACGACGCCGCTTGTGCAAGATAACACCGGCACACAAATAGCGCAGGAGCCAAGGCGCGTTGCTCTGAATAGCCTCCACACAGCGCGACTGTAGCATGAAGTCGACAATCGCATCACGACCCTCTTCGTGCCACGCAAATACAAACAACGACCAGTGCAGCAGCCACGAACGCTGCTGAAGTTGCTCAACGGGGCTCATAACGGTCTGTTAGAAATATGTAGTAAAACAATCATATCAGCATATCATACAAGATAATCGCGTTAGAGAAGCACGCACACTGCCTTCGATAACATCGCTGATGCGAGAGATATCAGCTAGAGCATCATCCCAACGGAAAATGAGAATTTCAGCAGCGAGTTTGCCCCACAGAGCATTTAAGAATTGTTCAGACGAATTAGGGATAAGCACGCCATAATACGTGAGGTACGTGAGACAGTCTTGATAGTTGCCGCACTCGTATTGTAGCTTGGCATATTTGTATAGTCCGTCCAAGACTGTGGGTGTGATCTATGAGAAGCGGTAAAAACATGTAAACATCAGTCCGCATCCCGATCTATTACAAAGGCGTCCTGGAAATCATACTTACACCCTCATTTTGCTCGAGATAGCTGGCATTGAGCAAACTTTCACTCTGTAGCTGCATTATTTTCTCCTCGTCCTCAATAAGCTCCAGCATTAAGCTGCACTCACTTTTGGCGAAACTCAAGGCGTCCAGAATCTCACCTCGACGTGTCTCAAACTCTTCAGGTACGTCATCTGATCCGTGCAATGTTTGATGAATCTCGACGGCAAAGTCCGCCATGTTCGTAGGCTTCAGAAGCGCTAACTTGGCCGCCATTAGTTGTGCCTCGTCGTACATTTCGCTACTAGACAAAAAGTCGATAAGTGGAAACATGAAGTGTAGGTCCATGAACGGCGCTAGACGGTTCGTCAAATCAAACTTAGCATCGGGCGGCACGTTCAAGCCCGGTGCGGAGGCATCAGTCTCGTCGTGGCAGCTCATGACGAAAATGGGTGGATAGAAATTTGAGAGCTAATTATTTGTCTGGGCAATTCTTTCGGAAAATCGACGAATCCTGTACTGTGGAAAACAGGTGGTGCTGTGCAACTCTTGATAGTTTGTAGGGACAAATTTAAAGAGGTTCGTGAGAATTCTTAAAATACAGCCACTACATTATAAATAGAACGTATATCTGTAATGTGATCTTAACACACTACGGACGAAAGCCTTTTGTCGGGATATACTGCGCTATTGGCTGCAAAATTGCAAAAAATGTGGCGCGATTATTTGCTCGCCTCACTTCTTTTGCTGTTGCCGTTTAGCCTCGTTTGAGCAGCTTTGAATTCCTCTTCGCTGGGCTCAGATTTACGCTTAGACTTCTTTCCCTTTTCAGCGTATTTGGCCTCTAAGCTTCCCAGTAGCAATTCAAACCCACGCTTTCTAATTGCTCGCACATTTGTATTTGAAAAATGCAGTGAAATCCATTATCTAGTCAGCCTTACCTTTCCGTACTTAGTGCGGTGCTACACTGTGACCGATCGATGTGCTTGCCACGAATCTTGTTGAAAAGATCTTCTGCTGCACGAGCTTCTTTTTCGCGCTTTGCAATTTTACGCTTCTGTTCGGCTAATGTCAATTTTCGCTCTTTCTTTTTCGATTGATTTCTTATATACTTTTTCCATGCCGGAAAATTTTTCACCTGAATTCCCGATACCTCATATGTGTCAGAATTTCGTCATCAACGAAACGTCAAGTTTTGTACCTACCTCTTTGTCCTCAATGGCCTTCTGAATCATCTCGACGAAGCGATTTTCATCGTCATCAATCGAAAGCATAATCGTGTCCATGACGTGCTGCATCTCGCCCTCATACTTAGTGTAGGCAATCAGCACATCGCGTCTCTCTTCTTCAGAAAAGCGGTACTCTTCTTCGAACTCTGTGATTTTTTCCTTTGTCACTTTTGGAAACACACGTGCAAAATATTGCGACCACGTCTGAAAAGAAGGAGACTTCTCGTCAGAGGCATCTGCTAAAATTGTTCCCGACTCGTCATACACTGCGCGCGCCTCCTTATCACTCAAAATAGAATGAATAGCACTCACTGCCTGAAACTTGGCCGTTGCTTTAGCACGAGATGCGTCATCACCACGCTGTTTATCGGGGTGCTGCAGGGTATGGAGACATCAAAACAGCAAGTCAAAATCTTCAAATGGTACTATATATTTTCTAGGGACGCACATATTTGAGTGCGAGCTTTCGGTAGGCTCGAGTGATATCTCTCGTTCCGGCCGAGCGCTCCACACAAAGGACAGCGTAGAGGTCGCAGTCGTCACCAAATTCAGCATGTATCAGCGCAGCCGCCATGATTGCAACTTTGCTGCATGGTACATGGTACCATTGGTATTTTAGTAACAGATCGCTCATGTGGACCACAGCACTGTTATGGTGGTGCTGTCAAATCAAAAAAAAAATGCTTTCTTTTGGAAGTGGTGACTTGCGATTGTGACGGGCGCAGGACGCGGGCTTGGTCGTGCATGAGCACAAGCGCTAGCTGCTTGTAATGCACGTGTGGTGGTGAATGATAACGATGCAGATCGATTCCTGGTGGATGAGGTACAAATTATTCGCTGTCGTGGGGGAGTAGCTGTGGGCGACTACCACAGCGCAACAGACGGCGTGAAAATTGTCAAAACGGCAAGTGGACATTTTGATAAATGTGCGAATACTGTGCGCAATTATTGTGAGTAAAAGAGTATTTTGGCATTGCTGTAGAATGCCGCTGTTGTCCGCGACGGCTCTTTTCGCAAGATGACGTTGGATGATTGGTGCTGACCATCTTGACCATACAACTCTTGAATTTTCATTGCTTATTGGTCGTTTTGTTGTTTTAGCCCGCAGGGACGACGTGTATCGATCGAGTCTGCTTGGTACCTTTGTTGTGACGAAGGCAGTGTGGCTCATTATGTGCCAGCAAAATTACGGCCGCATTCTTAACTGGATATCAGGCACTGGACTTTACGGTAACTTTGGGCAGGTCAATTACGCTTCTATGAAATTGGGACTAGTAGGCTTCACGTTGGCGCTGAATCGCGAAGGTTTGTGTTGTCTGGCTTGCATATTGACAGATGAAGTGCTGTCAATTTCACTGCACTGATACAACACTCAGTTTCAGGTATGAAGTCAAACATCGCTGTAAAATTTTATTTTATAAAGAGAGAATAAAAAAAATGCCCCAACTTTTGCCATATATAAAAAAAATATCCCAA